TTCGGACAGGCGCATCAATTCCTGTGTAGAAACTGTAGCTAGTACGTTACCTCTTTATTAATTCGTAAACGCCTTAAAAACGTGAAAAGCCCATGATCTGTAGCAAGAATGCCCTTTACATTTGTACAGGATAGTGGTTAGGCTTAAGCTCTACCTTCATTACTATGGTAGGGGTCTAAACTCATTTTGCCGAACCCAAAGGAAAGGAGTACTCCGGTGACACCTTGACATTGTTAACCCACAATTTTGGTCGCCATCGGATCTAAAAGTCCAATCATACTGAATTTTCAGGGGGATTTTTAGAATGCATTGCTTTGACTCTTGTTTTAATGCATTGTATGCTTTATAATGCGCTAAATATCCTATCCAGGCTCATATCCGACAGGGGTTTAACTAACTCCTGTATCTTTCAAATTTTAAGATGCGTGTTTACCAGTCTAGTACTTTCTTATTTATGCATCAAATAAAGCATTCCCCTCCCACTGCCTGCTTGGGCACCGCAGCTTTGGTTTTCTTCAGACTGTTAACTGATTGTAGTAAATAGAAGCAAATTTACTAGACGAGGAAAAAGGTCGCAACAAAATGTACTTCAGAGCAAAATCATAAACAAAGGTGTCGGAAACGGGTTCAGGAAAGTGCGCTTCGTGTAACGACACCACACCTAGTGATGTAGTGCAATCAAATCACCAATTTCTGGTATAGCACCTTATCATACATAATTTATGTACGCCCTAAAAAAAGGGCGATGATTCTATAAAGGTGCTGTATTTTTTAATTTGTCGCCTTAGTCAAAACGATGCAGTTTTTCGGGGAATTCTAAATACTTCGCTTGTAAGAAACCCTTTACTAAAAAGGTGTTATTGGAGACGGCCATTTGACAAAATCTTCTTTCCTAGTTTTTAAAAAAACTAGCTTTTCAACAAAAACGAGCAGGAAGATTACAAAGAACTTCTCATAGAGCTTTCTGAAAGGCTTGATGTATATAAAGCTTGTTTGGTGAACATTATCACTGGATAGTCAATCAGAATAAGAGAAGTGATTACGAAAAAGAAAAGCCCAGCTTTCTTTGGTTGCGTTTCTTATGAACAAAAAACATGTGATTGTGCTCATAGCGAGAGAGTGAGAGCGTGAACTTTTGAACCATTGCCTGTTGTTGGGGTTATAATGGTTTTTGTGATCGGAGGCAATCAATCAGGACATGACACAAATTAGAGAGAGCAGGCAGGACGATTGACGATCTTTTGGCATTTCTAATAAAAAAAGGAAAAATAAATTAATACATTTCAGCTGGTTTCCATGATCTACAGAATGAAATAGACAAATAAGCGGCGTGCCCTGTTCAACTTTTAAATCATATTTGGTTAAACGAGAAATCGTGCAATACAATGACCTCCTGGTATTGTAACCATGTATATTGTAGTGATGTTACTAGTTTGACATGACCTCGAAAGTAGGTGGCTGAAAAAGTCAAGCAAGGGTAGCTGTGATTGACTTGATTTCATAGTGTGCGTAAAATAGAAACAGCCAACAAATTTGCGATAGAATAGACAGTTTACTCGGGAATTATCGAGAATTCTCATTTCCATACAGACATACAAATGGTTTTCTGTAGACTTTTTGTATCAATTCTAAAGCTCCCTCGTCGCGTCTCAGTGCCGAGGATGTTTCCACTGACGTTTTTTTCATTGTTCATTTCAAGTTGTTACTCACGTTGCTAAGTTACCTCCTATGATTTATTTCAGTCAACCTTATTTCCGGCAGCAAATTCCCTCTGCAGTTCCTTTGTGCTTTTCTCCAAAGTGGAGAATGTTTTCGCTTAATAGAGGTATAGCTAAAGGCGACTCAATGTCATAGCATACTACCGGGTGTGGGAGTTGGCCCAAATTCGCCCGTTTCGTCCTGGGCATTTTGATATCTCAATACCAAAAACAAACCCATTTTTAGTAAAGGATTAAGACATTTAAACCTTATGTTAAATTCTTTAAATTACGTCTATCATTAAAACATTAAAATCATTGGCATTTCAAGTTATAGCCTATACAAAACTTAGGAATAAATCCATTTTTGTGAATGAGTAAATTAGGAAAGATCTGATGTGGTTAAAGCTAAATGTTGCATTTTAATGAGTTTGATGTGCAGCAACTATTCTTTCAAAAATGGTAATTGAATTTGATTGCAAGAATTCCAGTGCAAAAATACCTCATTTTTGAGGTCTGTTAACGGCAAAAGGCTCGAATGCTTAGCGTAACACGGTACCGCAGTAGGTAAAACAGAAATAATGTGAATAAAATTTAAAGGAAAGTGCGAAGGAGGTGTGAGACAATGAAAGGGATCCCAAGTTCTCTTGCCCAAAATTTGAGGTAATGACAATATTATGCGGAAATTAAATGGCTTGTATGTACAAAAAGGAATGATATATTAAAACTTCTGTCTTTAAACATATGGCAGGCAAAATTGTAATTGACACTTCATCTAGTTACCTAAATAATAGCCTACTCAACTTAATCTGCTAAATGATTTCTAAAAAAGAAAGAGTAATTTCGGTGATTAAAACATCGTAAATTTATACCATAGTAGGAAGATAAAATTCAGCAAATTAAAGTAGATCGGACGCGTAAAACTAATTTTGCATGAACAACCGTACCCTTATGGATGAAACAAATCTTAGTGAGTAAAATGCTCCTGCGTTGATATTTCGTGTGACTATCTACTTTAACTGCTTAAATTTTTTGTCCTTCGTGGGTTGCTCTGCCGCTGTAAGACACGATAGTCCGGCCATGCGAATAGCTTCCTAGGCATACCTTAGCTGCTAATGGGCCTCAACTCGACTTTTAAAGACTCGAGGAGCTACGTTGATGCTTATAGCAAGCGAACCATCATCCAAGTAATTATTAATTCTGATTTCGATGGCACTTTGTGAAATTCAAACTTCACAGAATAGCAGCATCCACGACAACTCACCATTGCACTATTAGAATGGTATCTAACTAACAACTCCCAACTAATCCTTCGAGATAAAAGCTACTTATGAAACAAGGACAAGTTGAAACGGGCTGCAATTCTCTAATTGGATTTTTCCAAAATTACAAATTACAATTCGTTAATCACTAGCATATGAAACAATAGCTTTTATGTAAAATAAATGTAATGGGGTAAGTTGAAGGTGAGCTTACGAGTAAAGTTACAGCGAGTAGAATAAGTAACTGGATTAGATTTGTGCAATGTCGTATGAAGGCAGCTCGACGAAAAAGAAAATATCTTTTGCGCACATATACAGCCCACATGAGATAAAATGATGAAAATCAAAATGTGAGAAGGTTTGCACTTGGAAATAAACAAAGAATGGGGTTTGAAATACGATGGTGGTTAATAAAGATGCACTTTGATGTGATGGCGAAAACTAAGTAAGGTCTCCACTCGCGCCATTTGCTCTTTGCCATTAATTTGAGGGCAATAAAAGTTGGTTAAACATCACTATTGACTCCAAATAACAAATGCCTTTTTTAGATTTTAACAAAGCACCTGATGTGACAATTAATGCTTTCAAACGTGTTTAACCTACACGATTTCCGATTGCATATTGTAGGAGGTGGATCAGGGCAAACATTTTCAAGAGACCGCAGCCAATGGGTATGGTATCAGCAAAGCAAGAAAGTCCTCAAAACCCATACATCTTCGGGCAAAATCTTAAAAATTGTCAAATCCTATGGTTTAGTTTGGGGACATTACCGACTCTCCTGTCATAAGAACAGTCCGATTTTAAGTGGAGTTAATTCAGAAACCAAAAGACATCATTGATCCTACTTGTACGCACTACTTTAATCCACAATGATCAGTTTGCTAAATAACTTTGTACTTCTGATAGAGCTTTAGCTTTAAGAATGAGTATTTCTTTTATAAACTAGAGATTATACACGTAAGCTTAGATCCCGTAGAGATCCCAATCGACAAGACATCAACGCACACCCCTACCGCCGACAGGTACGAGTAATCAAGAGTTTCCAACACGTGCGCAGGAGAGACGGCGGTTTAAGTCTCGCCTGTTTATGGCGTTGATTAACCTTGGACCTTGCCAATCAGGAGGGAATGAGGGGATTAGTCATAGAAGTGGCAGGCATCACCAGCACTTTTGTTTAGTAAGATATTAAATCTAGCCAAAAAATGTAGGGAATATGCAATTCCGTCGAGGAAATTTTCCCATCATGTACCGTCGTACATAAATAATATGTGCAAAGAGAGAAGTTGGCTCGTTGAGTACATAATGTTATGCAAGGAAGTGCGTTCCACATTGCATGCACTGGTAATACATTTGCCGGGTGTTTTTTGTGCCTCTTCACACAGGGATCACACTTTGCTGCTTGAGATACGCGCAACGCATTGAAGAAGGTGAGACTCGTTTAACTTAGGAATATCTCTGACCCTTCCCCAAAGCTCCACTTTTGTACCAAAAGAACTTGTGTTTTAAATAATTCTGTGTTGAGGTAATAGTTTGCCAGCTGAACCTTTTCCTTCTTGTTTAAAGACAAATTCTAAGTGCCTTGAGTGGCGTAACTGAGGAGTTCAGTGAACCATAAAGCATGATGAAGTCGTAAAATTGTTGCTTAAATTAAATCCAGCCGCAAGATCACAGTGGATGTGCATTCCTGATATAATTGGAATGAGGCTAATAAACGAGGTCCTAAAAATGAAAACGTCCGAATCTTTTGAAATGTAGAGAATCCTATGTTTAAAAAATGAAAGAAGCTAGGCTATAGATGCCGTATGAAAATTTGTAAGGACAAAATCCTAAGAAGTCAATCACTTAAACGCATAATGACACCCAAGTCTAAAGATCTTAGTCGTTTGATCACAGGAATGCAATTTAACCGAGCTAACTTTCTGAGGGCGTGAGTCACGACGCCTTACGTGAGTAATTATTTGCAGCTCCCCGAGTCTTCCCAAAAGATTAAAAAAAGGCATTATGCTCTAAGGGGGAAAGACACTGCCGACGTACAGAAGGGCTAGGAAAGGGGATGGCCACAGGCACGGCTCAGAGACCATGGCGTCGAGCGGAAGTATAAAGGTGGCGCCTCAGGTGGCTAAGGAAACAAAACGGAGATTTAAACAAATGATCACAGCATTTCATATCAGCTAGCGAAATCACCTGCTTGTGGACGCCGTGTTCTTGATTCACAAGTGATGCTGCACTGGTAGTAAACGAATCTTAAACAGTGTTTACCGAAAGTAGCTGTTTGGTAGTGAGAGAAGGCGAGCACTAAAGAAAAAAAAGAAACCAATTAATCCGTTTTTTGATTGATCTAAGAAACGGCTCCTGACTTTGACTCTTATAATCAAGGCTCTAGGTAAGATCCATCTTCACGTATATTACTTTCGATTTGTTAGTGCAAGTTAAATTGTAAAAAATAAACCTCAATTTTCGCATTACTTGAATTAGCGGCCCAATATGTGTAAAAAAGACAGTTGATTTCGAATAAGATTTTAGTAAAAGTCTTAAAGAAAATATGATATCCGAGTTGACTTAGTACAGCCAGTTGGGAGAGGACACAAAGATTTGACTTTGCAGAAAAGTCATAAAAAGGGGAATTAAGTACACCGAAGGGTAGTAATTACTGTTTTGGTATTCGTACTAATGGAAAGGAGCATTTTATGTCTCTTTGCAGGCTACAGAATTAGCTTTCGGTTAAAAGCGTTCTAAGCATTTTGCACATTTACACAAAACATGACTGTTAGAAGCATGAGGAGGGATACGATGCCTAGTAAAAACATTTAGTAGTGTCAAAAATGAACGACGTCATGAAATGGGGTTGCACATAATAGACACGGAAGAGCTATGCAATAAAATTTTCCTTGTGACGGATGGAACAAATAGTGGAGTGAAAGATAACCGTGCGAAGGTTGAGCCACTGGTACCAAAAGTGCTGTGAACTCATGACCGTGATTGGCTGAACTTTACTTTGACCACGATTTGCACCGATTCTGCTGACATTTCTGCTCTGCGTGGCCAGGAAGTGGTGAAGGGGGTGATTGACATCACGTTGAGCTATAAAGAGTAAAATGGATAAACTAATTTCTATATGGTGCTGAAATACAAAGAGAGGACTTGGCTTATCGAGCCACCCATTTGGAGATAAATGCCTTGGACGGCGGAAACGGCAACATTTGCTACCAATCAACAAAATGATATCTTAGCTCAAAATTTGTAAAAGCACTACACTCACCTACCTTCTTTCGCCAACTTAATGCGGCATAAATGCACGCTCGTATAGCATGTCCCATGGTCAAATTCAGTTCAACCAATCACAACTATGGGTTTGTAGCAGCTCTGGTGTGATTGGTTCATTTCCAACACGCCAAGCAGAAGCTTTTCAATTGGTTCATTCGTCAACTGGGTAATTCTTTAAGTATGGCTTTGAACTGCCTTCCGGGTTGACCCCATTTTGGGACATCGTGTCTAGGGCACAGTTCCAGAGAGCTGTTTTGTGGCTTGCATGACTTTCCCTATAGATTAGCTAGTGAAACTGATACAATAAACTGTCTGATGTAAATTTATGCCCAATCACCTGCACTGACATTAGACACATCTTCGCTGAGATGTCTGTGCTTCAGTTCTGCGATGTTTCCTCCATTACGTCATGCACTGCGTCATCCATTTTTTGCCTATTTTAAACACCGCATGTCCTGGCTTTCGGACAGGCGCATCAATTCCTGTGTAGAAACTGTAGCTAGTACGTTACCTCTTTATTAATTCGTAAACGCCTTAAAAACGTGAAAAGCCCATGATCTGTAGCAAGAATGCCCTTTACATTTGTACAGGATAGTGGTTAGGCTTAAGCTCTACCTTCATTACTATGGTAGGGGTCTAAACTCATTTTGCCGAACCCAAAGGAAAGGAGTACTCCGGTGACACCTTGACATTGTTAACCCACAATTTTGGTCGCCATCGGATCTAAAAGTCCAATCATACTGAATTTTCAGGGGGATTTTTAGAATGCATTGCTTTGACTCTTGTTTTAATGCATTGTATGCTTTATAATGCGCTAAATATCCTATCCAGGCTCATATCCGACAGGGGTTTAACTAACTCCTGTATCTTTCAAATTTTAAGATGCGTGTTTACCAGTCTAGTACTTTCTTATTTATGCATCAAATAAAGCATTCCCCTCCCACTGCCTGCTTGGGCACCGCAGCTTTGGTTTTCTTCAGACTGTTAACTGATTGTAGTAAATAGAAGCAAATTTACTAGACGAGGAAAAAGGTCGCAACAAAATGTACTTCAGAGCAAAATCATAAACAAAGGTGTCGGAAACGGGTTCAGGAAAGTGCGCTTCGTGTAACGACACCACACCTAGTGATGTAGTGCAATCAAATCACCAATTTCTGGTATAGCACCTTATCATACATAATTTATGTACGCCCTAAAAAAAGGGCGATGATTCTATAAAGGTGCTGTATTTTTTAATTTGTCGCCTTAGTCAAAACGATGCAGTTTTTCGGGGAATTCTAAATACTTCGCTTGTAAGAAACCCTTTACTAAAAAGGTGTTATTGGAGACGGCCATTTGACAAAATCTTCTTTCCTAGTTTTTAAAAAAACTAGCTTTTCAACAAAAACGAGCAGGAAGATTACAAAGAACTTCTCATAGAGCTTTCTGAAAGGCTTGATGTATATAAAGCTTGTTTGGTGAACATTATCACTGGATAGTCAATCAGAATAAGAGAAGTGATTACGAAAAAGAAAAGCCCAGCTTTCTTTGGTTGCGTTTCTTATGAACAAAAAACATGTGATTGTGCTCATAGCGAGAGAGTGAGAGCGTGAACTTTTGAACCATTGCCTGTTGTTGGGGTTATAATGGTTTTTGTGATCGGAGGCAATCAATCAGGACATGACACAAATTAGAGAGAGCAGGCAGGACGATTGACGATCTTTTGGCATTTCTAATAAAAAAAGGAAAAATAAATTAATACATTTCAGCTGGTTTCCATGATCTACAGAATGAAATAGACAAATAAGCGGCGTGCCCTGTTCAACTTTTAAATCATATTTGGTTAAACGAGAAATCGTGCAATACAATGACCTCCTGGTATTGTAACCATGTATATTGTAGTGATGTTACTAGTTTGACATGACCTCGAAAGTAGGTGGCTGAAAAAGTCAAGCAAGGGTAGCTGTGATTGACTTGATTTCATAGTGTGCGTAAAATAGAAACAGCCAACAAATTTGCGATAGAATAGACAGTTTACTCGGGAATTATCGAGAATTCTCATTTCCATACAGACATACAAATGGTTTTCTGTAGACTTTTTGTATCAATTCTAAAGCTCCCTCGTCGCGTCTCAGTGCCGAGGATGTTTCCACTGACGTTTTTTTCATTGTTCATTTCAAGTTGTTACTCACGTTGCTAAGTTACCTCCTATGATTTATTTCAGTCAACCTTATTTCCGGCAGCAAATTCCCTCTGCAGTTCCTTTGTGCTTTTCTCCAAAGTGGAGAATGTTTTCGCTTAATAGAGGTATAGCTAAAGGCGACTCAATGTCATAGCATACTACCGGGTGTGGGAGTTGGCCCAAATTCGCCCGTTTCGTCCTGGGCATTTTGATATCTCAATACCAAAAACAAACCCATTTTTAGTAAAGGATTAAGACATTTAAACCTTATGTTAAATTCTTTAAATTACGTCTATCATTAAAACATTAAAATCATTGGCATTTCAAGTTATAGCCTATACAAAACTTAGGAATAAATCCATTTTTGTGAATGAGTAAATTAGGAAAGATCTGATGTGGTTAAAGCTAAATGTTGCATTTTAATGAGTTTGATGTGCAGCAACTATTCTTTCAAAAATGGTAATTGAATTTGATTGCAAGAATTCCAGTGCAAAAATACCTCATTTTTGAGGTCTGTTAACGGCAAAAGGCTCGAATGCTTAGCGTAACACGGTACCGCAGTAGGTAAAACAGAAATAATGTGAATAAAATTTAAAGGAAAGTGCGAAGGAGGTGTGAGACAATGAAAGGGATCCCAAGTTCTCTTGCCCAAAATTTGAGGTAATGACAATATTATGCGGAAATTAAATGGCTTGTATGTACAAAAAGGAATGATATATTAAAACTTCTGTCTTTAAACATATGGCAGGCAAAATTGTAATTGACACTTCATCTAGTTACCTAAATAATAGCCTACTCAACTTAATCTGCTAAATGATTTCTAAAAAAGAAAGAGTAATTTCGGTGATTAAAACATCGTAAATTTATACCATAGTAGGAAGATAAAATTCAGCAAATTAAAGTAGATCGGACGCGTAAAACTAATTTTGCATGAACAACCGTACCCTTATGGATGAAACAAATCTTAGTGAGTAAAATGCTCCTGCGTTGATATTTCGTGTGACTATCTACTTTAACTGCTTAAATTTTTTGTCCTTCGTGGGTTGCTCTGCCGCTGTAAGACACGATAGTCCGGCCATGCGAATAGCTTCCTAGGCATACCTTAGCTGCTAATGGGCCTCAACTCGACTTTTAAAGACTCGAGGAGCTACGTTGATGCTTATAGCAAGCGAACCATCATCCAAGTAATTATTAATTCTGATTTCGATGGCACTTTGTGAAATTCAAACTTCACAGAATAGCAGCATCCACGACAACTCACCATTGCACTATTAGAATGGTATCTAACTAACAACTCCCAACTAATCCTTCGAGATAAAAGCTACTTATGAAACAAGGACAAGTTGAAACGGGCTGCAATTCTCTAATTGGATTTTTCCAAAATTACAAATTACAATTCGTTAATCACTAGCATATGAAACAATAGCTTTTATGTAAAATAAATGTAATGGGGTAAGTTGAAGGTGAGCTTACGAGTAAAGTTACAGCGAGTAGAATAAGTAACTGGATTAGATTTGTGCAATGTCGTATGAAGGCAGCTCGACGAAAAAGAAAATATCTTTTGCGCACATATACAGCCCACATGAGATAAAATGATGAAAATCAAAATGTGAGAAGGTTTGCACTTGGAAATAAACAAAGAATGGGGTTTGAAATACGATGGTGGTTAATAAAGATGCACTTTGATGTGATGGCGAAAACTAAGTAAGGTCTCCACTCGCGCCATTTGCTCTTTGCCATTAATTTGAGGGCAATAAAAGTTGGTTAAACATCACTATTGACTCCAAATAACAAATGCCTTTTTTAGATTTTAACAAAGCACCTGATGTGACAATTAATGCTTTCAAACGTGTTTAACCTACACGATTTCCGATTGCATATTGTAGGAGGTGGATCAGGGCAAACATTTTCAAGAGACCGCAGCCAATGGGTATGGTATCAGCAAAGCAAGAAAGTCCTCAAAACCCATACATCTTCGGGCAAAATCTTAAAAATTGTCAAATCCTATGGTTTAGTTTGGGGACATTACCGACTCTCCTGTCATAAGAACAGTCCGATTTTAAGTGGAGTTAATTCAGAAACCAAAAGACATCATTGATCCTACTTGTACGCACTACTTTAATCCACAATGATCAGTTTGCTAAATAACTTTGTACTTCTGATAGAGCTTTAGCTTTAAGAATGAGTATTTCTTTTATAAACTAGAGATTATACACGTAAGCTTAGATCCCGTAGAGATCCCAATCGACAAGACATCAACGCACACCCCTACCGCCGACAGGTACGAGTAATCAAGAGTTTCCAACACGTGCGCAGGAGAGACGGCGGTTTAAGTCTCGCCTGTTTATGGCGTTGATTAACCTTGGACCTTGCCAATCAGGAGGGAATGAGGGGATTAGTCATAGAAGTGGCAGGCATCACCAGCACTTTTGTTTAGTAAGATATTAAATCTAGCCAAAAAATGTAGGGAATATGCAATTCCGTCGAGGAAATTTTCCCATCATGTACCGTCGTACATAAATAATATGTGCAAAGAGAGAAGTTGGCTCGTTGAGTACATAATGTTATGCAAGGAAGTGCGTTCCACATTGCATGCACTGGTAATACATTTGCCGGGTGTTTTTTGTGCCTCTTCACACAGGGATCACACTTTGCTGCTTGAGATACGCGCAACGCATTGAAGAAGGTGAGACTCGTTTAACTTAGGAATATCTCTGACCCTTCCCCAAAGCTCCACTTTTGTACCAAAAGAACTTGTGTTTTAAATAATTCTGTGTTGAGGTAATAGTTTGCCAGCTGAACCTTTTCCTTCTTGTTTAAAGACAAATTCTAAGTGCCTTGAGTGGCGTAACTGAGGAGTTCAGTGAACCATAAAGCATGATGAAGTCGTAAAATTGTTGCTTAAATTAAATCCAGCCGCAAGATCACAGTGGATGTGCATTCCTGATATAATTGGAATGAGGCTAATAAACGAGGTCCTAAAAATGAAAACGTCCGAATCTTTTGAAATGTAGAGAATCCTATGTTTAAAAAATGAAAGAAGCTAGGCTATAGATGCCGTATGAAAATTTGTAAGGACAAAATCCTAAGAAGTCAATCACTTAAACGCATAATGACACCCAAGTCTAAAGATCTTAGTCGTTTGATCACAGGAATGCAATTTAACCGAGCTAACTTTCTGAGGGCGTGAGTCACGACGCCTTACGTGAGTAATTATTTGCAGCTCCCCGAGTCTTCCCAAAAGATTAAAAAAAGGCATTATGCTCTAAGGGGGAAAGACACTGCCGACGTACAGAAGGGCTAGGAAAGGGGATGGCCACAGGCACGGCTCAGAGACCATGGCGTCGAGCGGAAGTATAAAGGTGGCGCCTCAGGTGGCTAAGGAAACAAAACGGAGATTTAAACAAATGATCACAGCATTTCATATCAGCTAGCGAAATCACCTGCTTGTGGACGCCGTGTTCTTGATTCACAAGTGATGCTGCACTGGTAGTAAACGAATCTTAAACAGTGTTTACCGAAAGTAGCTGTTTGGTAGTGAGAGAAGGCGAGCACTAAAGAAAAAAAAGAAACCAATTAATCCGTTTTTTGATTGATCTAAGAAACGGCTCCTGACTTTGACTCTTATAATCAAGGCTCTAGGTAAGATCCATCTTCACGTATATTACTTTCGATTTGTTAGTGCAAGTTAAATTGTAAAAAATAAACCTCAATTTTCGCATTACTTGAATTAGCGGCCCAATATGTGTAAAAAAGACAGTTGATTTCGAATAAGATTTTAGTAAAAGTCTTAAAGAAAATATGATATCCGAGTTGACTTAGTACAGCCAGTTGGGAGAGGACACAAAGATTTGACTTTGCAGAAAAGTCATAAAAAGGGGAATTAAGTACACCGAAGGGTAGTAATTACTGTTTTGGTATTCGTACTAATGGAAAGGAGCATTTTATGTCTCTTTGCAGGCTACAGAATTAGCTTTCGGTTAAAAGCGTTCTAAGCATTTTGCACATTTACACAAAACATGACTGTTAGAAGCATGAGGAGGGATACGATGCCTAGTAAAAACATTTAGTAGTGTCAAAAATGAACGACGTCATGAAATGGGGTTGCACATAATAGACACGGAAGAGCTATGCAATAAAATTTTCCTTGTGACGGATGGAACAAATAGTGGAGTGAAAGATAACCGTGCGAAGGTTGAGCCACTGGTACCAAAAGTGCTGTGAACTCATGACCGTGATTGGCTGAACTTTACTTTGACCACGATTTGCACCGATTCTGCTGACATTTCTGCTCTGCGTGGCCAGGAAGTGGTGAAGGGTAAGTGATGACGTTGCACTTTTTCAAATTTTGAGGCATTAGAAGTCTTTTAATTGAGTGTCCCTTCCAGAAAATTTACCTCTGAGTAAATGCTTTCATTTTTTTTTTAAAGCAATGTGATGTGAAACACTGCTAAGTAATGCATCTCAAAGAGTGTGGATTTTTCCCTTTTGACACAGAAAAGCTGTATCTGGTTTCTGTTCACATCAGATGGTCATTCTGAAACACCATCAAAGAATCCCTAAAAATTGGCTTTAAGGTTCCACGAAAATTGAGGAGTCGTTGAGTATAGCAGCCTCGCATAGATGTGAGGAGGGTGAGATCGGATTGCGATCAAATATGCACAGAATCAAATAGCCCTAACAGAAAAATTAGCAAAGATTGTGCGAAAAATGGACGAAGAGCAAAACCGTGCTTCTTGCTTTCCACACTTTCTATTCACAATTTAGCAATTTCAAACGCTTATCTGGAAGGAAATGAGTGAATGCATTGAAAACTCAGGTAACTGCATGACATGCTTTGCAATGGCAAGTAGCTTTGTGAGGAAGAAGCAGCCAAGATAATCGTTTGATGATGGTTATATGTTTTGATGTGTTTCACAAATCTGTCCAACCCGTTACATGCTGTGAAACGTGGAAGAGAGGCTGTGCGGGTGACAGGTGGCCCTGTAGTGCGCGAGTGAGTGGGCGTGTCACAGAGTGATTCGCAGCCGAAAATGAGGAATGGTGAAGTAGTTAGCATAGGAGTGAAGGAGATGTGAAGCAGTGTGATTGGATTGGAGGAGGCGTGTAGATTGAGGAAAACTGGCATGAGTGTGAATTCGATGCTGGATGAAAGACGCTGTAGGGGGGCGAGCGATGCGATATGTGTCGTTGAATTGGCGTCGCAAGCATTGTTTATGCATGGAGGTTTGGAGACATTGTGGTTTGTTTGGTTGTTTGTCAGTGACAGCAATGAGTGGTGCCATGTCAGGGAAGTGGTGTGAAAGTATGTAGTAGAAGGTGAAGTGGAAGTGGGTGGGTGGGTGAGTGAGTGAGTGGTGGTGGTGGTTGGGATTGGTGATGGCTAAGCTGAATGAGTGGTAGCTTGGAAGCACTCTATGCCAATGCCACTTGAATGACTGTTGCGTTGCGTTAACTTTGCAGTCTTAGTGGCATTGCGTTGTGCTTGTGGAGGGATGAATTGTTGCAATGCTACTGACGCGTGGTGAATGACCCTGTCAACGGTTGAGGAATGGAGGAGCAAAGCGATGGTTTGTCTGGGTTCGTCGATTGGCACACGTTGGCACCGGTCGCTGTCAGGTGCTCGCTCTGTTGTGTTGGTGGGAAATTAGACGTCATTGCTAGTCATCGCGCCGTGCTTGAACTTGCCTGTGCACGAAGAAACGAGTAGGAGGGTAGGAGAATTTGGCGCACTGCAAATCTTGCTCATAAACTGAGTGGGATGGGGATTGCAGGTGGCTGTTGCGTGTTTGCAAGAGATTTGCAATGATAGTGCGAATTATTGACACCGCCCTCCACTGGTCTTGTGTGTATGTGGATTGGTGGAGTCTCACAGGAAGGCGGCAGTGAAAAGGGATTGTTGGCCATGTGAAGCGTCTCTATGCGATGGCAGAGTGGAGTGGACTGTTAGACAGGGATGGTGAAGTGTGTGTTTGTGAGAATTGTATGAGAATGTCAAGAGGAGCATTGATGGAGGATGGGAGCAATGTATTGAGTGGCATTGAAGTGAGGGCATGCTGAAGATTGTACTGTGCCGACGATCAGTTGGAATGATATTGTTGTGCCTGTCGGTTCGCGGTTACAGAGGATGGTGGTGGGTGAGGAGAGGAGAAGGAATGGTGTACTTGTGTTGCAATTGCTACATGGAAATGGTGTGCAAGTAAGTAATACTTGCACGTAGGAGGAGATGTGTGTTGTGGGCAAAGCGAGTGGTCGTTGAGTGTTTGTGAGTGGAGTATGGAGGCACTTGTGTTGGCAGCAGTAGTAAATGTGGATAGGCTCTCACGTGGAAGGACGAGTAGGTAGAGTGGGGCAGAGAGAGTGATTAGTGCGGTGGTGACGGTGATGCGGTGATTATAATGGTGAATGACAGTCAGGGGTCATCAGTGGAATGTGGAGTTAGTGAGCCCTACAAAAAGTCAGAGTTGAAGAATGAGGCATTTGTGTTAATGGCTTTTCTGTGTTGTTTTGGGTGAATAAGAAGAGACGAGATGAGATGAGGTAGGCATGGATGGATGGATGTGAATGGATGATCGATGGTGAATGGGAGTGTCTGCGCATCACAGTCACGTGTAGCTGTCGTGGAGGAGGTGTTAATTGTTGCACGCGTGTGGATGGGATTGGTGAGTGCGTTTGCACATGTGAGAGTAATGGTGGGGTATGTGTCATTGCAGATAGGAAGTGAGGAAAAGGAAGAGGCAATGCGTGAGGCTGAGACGAGAGATATGTCGGCAAAAAACTCATCCTCATTTCTGCAGCCGCCATCGCCTGTGGGAGTGGCGGGTATTGGGGTGTCGACGGTGGGAGGGCAGACACAGAGCTCGCAGCAGGTGGAGCAGTCGTCGTCGGGAGTGGTACGTCTGCACTCGGTGGTGACGAGGCCTTCCTATGTCAGCACGACGTCGATATCGAACATCTTTCGCAGCCTCTCCACCATCCATCGCTCTACGTCGGCGCTGCCTGCCTCCCTACTGGATCTGGATGTTGCCTCCACAGCGGGACTGCAGGTGCGTTCGCCTCCCACTTCCCATCTTCCCCCTCCCTTCCCTTCTCCCCAAACACGCACTTCGTCCTCGCACTAGCCTACTAAGTCGCAGAATGGGAGAAGTACAATGTTGAAGTGTTTGTTTAATGTATGTGACATATGTTTGGTTAGTTTTTTAGTATGGAAAACGGTAACGATGATGTCGCATTAGACATTGGCATGTGCTGGGGAAGGAAGGAACGAGAAATGAATGAGGGGTCGGTGACATGTGCTGTCGTCATTGACGTGGAGAGTGCTTGGTGTATGTGGTGTGTTGGTCACTTTCACTGGCGTGATGGCAATAATGAACTACCTACTTATCTACTTTTCTACCTCTGTATCATGCATCTATCTGTTCATGCACCCACCTACTTTCTCTCCACCTACCTACTTCCAATGTGCCTACCCATCTGTCTGTCAATTGGATGTGTTCTTGGATCACGACGCAGCAGGCCTTGATGTCGTTTTCCATGGCAGCAATCGTACTCCGTGTAGTAGTAGCAGTTGTTGTTGTTGTTGGTCCTTCCATGTCCCTTCCTTGTTCCTGTATCAGGTAGCCGAACATGTTTGCATGAACTTGCTGAGAAACTGTAAGAAGGGGCGAAATGATATGAGAAGGCGTGGGCTGTGTAGTACATGTTGCTAGAGGTAACTTAGTATGGGGCTGACAAGGGGTGAGAAGACGCATGAGAATCAGTTGGCCGAAGTGGAGGAGGAGGAGGAGGGGGAGAAGGCAGGTGTATGAGTACGTCGGGTGTTTAGATTCTCGGTTTGGTGGTGTGCGTTCGTTTGTTGGGCAAATGCGTGGGATAACCGAAATGTTGGCAGTACTTAGCACCTACTCATCTTGATGTGGCCTACAGTTGCTCACCATGCTGATGTAGCGAGGCACACTGGTGCGTCTTGCTGATTACAACATAAATGCAGTGGGTAGCACTTGAAGCGGTAGCTCATATCTGGAAGCATGCAAAGGAAATTGTGCTAATCTCGCGGCTTGTAGTGAGCCTCTTGAGAACGATGAGGGTGCTATGTTGGGACAAAGGGTATGACATTTTTATGAAAATATGTTGTTTTTAGAGAAGTGAATGAAGCAGTTGGTAGGATTAGTGAGCGGTGGGTAGCAGTCTGGCTGTAGGAAGTCGGCGTTTAACGTAGCCATGCTAGGCTGTGGTGGCTAGCATTGGTCCTTACTATATTTCCTCTTCGCCCGAGCGGTAGAGTGAATCTGGTGGTTTGGATGCATGACATAAATCCACTTCACTACGAAGGTGATGTCGTCGTCTCTACAGGTAGTACTTTCGTTCTTCATTCGAGGTTACTTACACCAATCACTTGAACAATGCGAAGTCCCAAGTGTGCCTCCTTTACTTCGGAAGTAGTGCTTGGAATAGGGGCAGAAATACCATCGTCCTGCGTTGTAGGTGCATGGGTTGATGATGATGTTACTGCACACTGGAGCATGAGCTGTGCTGATGCCTTCGTGACACGTTGAGTTGTAGTGCGTCCCTGTCACTGTGTCAGCATATCTTGCTTATCAGTGAAGGAGGCTTGTCTGCGTTGCGTGAACACGGCAATAGTATGCAATTTGCCTGTAGTATGTTGTGTAGCTTCATGTCAAGTGAGGCAGTGTATAGGCTTGCGCATGGAAGAAAATGTGCATTAACCTTGACCCATCTCAGTCCGTGCAATGGTTAGCGCGTGTTTGAGGTGACGCATCCAATGGATTGGGGATGTAGTATGTTGCACATGTGTTGTGGGAGTTGCTGTATGCTTGGTGTTTGCAAAGTGATTGTTGGTGTGACAGTCTACTGTCAAGATCTTTTCCTCCTCCCTTCCCTTTTTCCTTTCTTTTTTACTTTGTTCCTGCATGCCTGCTTTCCTGGCTGTAGTGCAGCATGCACAACAGCTTGAAGTGGGAGAAAGGACCGAGCACACTGTTTCTGCCGCATATAAAATGGAGGCCCACTTTCATGTCGTGTTGTTTTATCCCTTTCATAAAATAAGCCGCAACTTTTGTGGCGGTGGTGATTGTGGTGTATTGGTCGCACTAGTTTGCTTTCCTTGGTAAGGCAAGGTGGGAAGTGCAGAGATGGGATTGGTGAATGACCTGGAAGAGTGGAAAGTACACGTGTCCCGATTGGAAGAGTTCACCGGATTATTTGGTGTGAGCCAACGAAACGGTAAGAAGTGGTAGGTCCTATTGGATTGAACACGGAGTGGTCAAAGTGGCGTGATTGGTGGAGGTTGAAGTAGAAACGCGACAGGTTGTTGGCCGTTTTGATGCACTGCTCGATCTGCAGTGGACGGAAATGCAGTGTGTGCGGTTGAATGAGAAATGCGTCTCTTTCTGTGGGAAGGTTTGTGAGCAGTGCATATTGCTGGTGAGTGTTGGATGGTGCAAAGCATTTGTGCTGTCATTGGGATAACCTTATTGTTTGGGGTGGTAACTGAGTGGCGAGATTGGATTGCTAACCACTGCATGTAGGTACTTGTGTTTATTCACGTTGCCTTGGTATAAATGGTGCATTGATGATGATATGAGGAGAAACAGGAAATGTGAATGAGTGAGCCAAAGTAGTGGGGCGACAGGGATAATGTCAGTGCGGTGGTGTGTGTGTAGGAGGGCCAAAGGCGTGATGAAAGGGACGAGAATGTGCGTCAATTATTGTTGAAAATTGAGGAGAGTGGTGCGGGAAAATGCGGGGCATAGTTACAGGATGTCATCACGCCAACATGCTTGGGAGGGTGTTCGCTAGACTTACGGTCGAAGTGAAGGCGACAATACTGGTGTGGTGCTGATATGTCGTGTCTGTGTCCAATTTCTCTTCCCTCTCGCCCCCGTCATGGTTGATGGAGCGACTGGGAGGTGACGTGAGGTGTGGTGACGATATCCTGTGTTAGTGTATGGATGGCGGTGTGACAACCGCATTCGTTTCGTGAATTGATGCAATGGGGTAGTGTAAAAAGACAATCGAGCCCTTTCCTAGTTAGCAATAGTAAAAATGCTTGAACTTTTGGCCGAGTGTAGGGTTGCAGAGGATATGGTACAGAGGACAGGGTGGAGGAGAAGTAAGTTGCTGTTTAGAGGTGCTAAAAATGTCGTGGCAAAGGAGGGGTTATGCTCAATTGCACACGAATGGAATAGGAAGCGGACGTAGGGTGAGTGTGTAATGGGGTCGCTTAACTTAGTCTCTCACATCAAAGGTGTGATGAATAGTATGAAGTATCTAATGGGAGAATGTTGGGTAGAAGATGGACGCGTCTGCAATGGCACTTTGTGGTAAATGGTGGCGAGAGTTTGGCATCCGAATCGCCAACATGCAGTGTGATGCCATTGGCATTCAAGCGTTTGAAGTTTATGCCTTGGCATGGGGAAAGTAGAGCAGAAAGCTCAATTGGACTTGATAAAGGCATTTTCAGATAACTGAGAAGGGCCTTGCAGAGCGAGTGGAGGAGGCATGTGTGAATTGTTGGGAAGACATGAGTTGCACATACGAAGCGAGCGAGCGAGTGAGTGAGCGAAGGAAGTGGGTGGGCATGGGGCGTGATAGGACAGAGGATAGGCCATCCAGCTGTCTCGATGGAAGAGAAGGAAATCGCTGTGCCATCGTGCAAAATGCGACGAGGACTGGATTTCGGATGAAAAAAGGAGTGGATGCATGAGTTTATGAATGAAAGAGTGATAAATGAATGCGTGAATAGATGCATGCATGGATGGTTGTGTGTGTGTATACTTGAAATTGAGTGTTGTTTACGCCTTCCTTTCTCTTTGTCGGGTGATCACGCGAACAGGTGATTCGACCTGAGACGCACCCTGAGGCCTTTGTGCCAGTACCACCAGACGGGGGTTGGGGCTGGTTGGTAGTGTTTGCCGCCTTCGTCACCAACCTCATCATCGATGGCATTTGTGTGTCCTTCGGCATAATGGTGACTGACCTGGTGGAGCATTTCAACACCGCTGTAGCCACAGTGATGCTGATGGGTTCTCTGATGCTTGGCGTCTACCAAATTGTTGGTAAGTGCTTTTTTGTGTTATTCCTTTACCTACAGTGATCACTCGTTCCCCCATCTCATTGGCATAGGCTGAGGTGAGTAGAGCAAATGGAGTGAGTAAAGAATCACAGGGAGGTGCAGGCTCTGCTGCTGCTGCTGCTGCTGCTTTAACACGTAAGGCAATGACCCAGAAGCATTGATAATTTGGAGAGTTGGGTGGGTGGCCTTGTGACTGTGCCTGCTTGTGAGCTTCTTCATGTGAATGCAGTCAGATGTGTAGGTATTGCAAAATGTTGCTGGTGTGCAAGCACTGTGTGCTGACAGAGGACTTGGTCTTTTGGTCCCCATACTCAGAAACCAAAAAGAATGGTTGCTAAACACTTGATGGCAGTAGGAGACAGACGGTAAGGCCGTTGTGATGTTGGCGTGGGTGGAGAATCGGCACGAGCTAATGTGACTTGATCACGTGTTGGGTTGTTTGTGACAGGACCGGTGGCGGCGGGTCTGGTGAACAGGTATGGATGTCGAGCGGTGGGAATGGGAGGTTCTGTCCTGGCCACTGTCTCAATGTTCGTGAGCGCCTTCATGCCCACCATCGAACTCATGCTCGTCTCCTACGGCTTCTTTGCTGGTAAGTCACGAAGTTTTCATTTCAGTATTTGTTTGCTAGCTGCTCTGTCTGTTGCTCTCTCTATTCTGCTTCCTCCCTCCCTTCTTCCATGTGTTCCTCCCTCTTTTTCCCGCTAGCCTCCTTGTATGCCTGCAGAAACCTCTGATGCTAGTAGGGTGTAACTCCTACGTCAATTTGGTTGGATCCACTCAGTCATTCGAGTGTCATTGATTGAGTGGTTGGTTCATTGTAACTTCGAAAAGCCGAATTGCGTGTACATTATCGTGTTTGGACATCCACTGGGGACGTTGAGTTGGCTCGTGGAGACCCATTAAACGTGTAGTTACGTGCCAGGGCCTTTGTTGACAGGTCTTTTGTACGGCAGCTCATTTATTGTGAGGCAACAAGTTGTCTTGGTCGTGGTAGTGGTAATTTTAGTGCAATCTCTACAACGTCACATTTTCGCGAATTGTTTTAACGCGCACATGAGATTGGGTGGGTGTAGTTGAGTGCATTGTTTGGCTGATAACTGGCTGCTGGAACTGTGCGTAGTGGCAATCGGTTGGTGTGGTGTGTGGTGTGTGGCTAACTCTCCCCTCTCGTGGTGCATGTCAGTGGATATGTAAAATGTGGTTGAGGAGACTTGAAAAAGCAGGTATTCCACATGGAGAAAGCGTTAAATGGAGTGAGGGAGTGAGTGAAAACCACCCAATTTTGAGGTACTTTGGTTTTAGTTAGGGTGTGTGTCATCAGAAAAGCAGTCCACAGCAAGATTGGAATGATGTAGTCAACTGGTAGATGGGAAATGGCGTATCTGTGTGGTCAGATGTGGTTATTTGGTGATGGGAAGCGTGAAGTATGGCCACAGGTAACGGTGTGATTGTGCAGAAAACTTTTGTTGCTGTGGACAAAGTGGTATCCTGCATAAGATTTAGTGGCTGTATTGGTCTTGTCGAAAGGTAGGAAGGAGGGAGGGAATGAGGGAAGGAGGGAGGGAATGAGGGAAGGAGGGAGGGAATGAGGGAAGGAGGGAGGGAATGAGGGAAGGAGGGAGGGAGGGAGAGAAGAAGAGGCGGAGTGAAGGGTAGGTGGAGTTGTGCCAAATTCGGCTAAATTTTAGCAGTCAAGGAAGACTTATGGCAGGAAATGCAGCCTGCGAAAAGGCATGAAGTGGTGAAACATTTGAAACACTCCACTGACGCATGATTCTCACAAAACCTTTGAGTTTTTTGTGTAGTGTGACCCCACCAGAAGTGGTAATTTGTTTCTAATGCTAAGGTGAGGGAGTATGCGGCCTTGACTGCTCTCTAGTGTGTGATGTGTGAGTGGGATAAGATGTTGCTCTACTGACATCTCTCTTTCCCATTGTGCCCCAATCTCGGTTGGCTGTAGGTGCGGCCTTTGGATTTCTGCACCTGCCGTCGATAATCTGCGTGAGCTTCTACTTCGACTCACGTCGGGCGTTAGCCATCGGAATGACGAGCTGCGGCACGCCAATCGGCGCAATGATCTTCGCTCCACTCACCGAGGTGTTGCTTCAGGTCTGTCTCCATCCCCTCCACCACCAGCCTTGCTATCTCACCCTACTCCGCAGTTCACAGTACACCTCTACCCCACCTCGTTGGGGTGGTCGTGGTCGTGGCTGTGTTAGATCCACAGTGGTGGTGGCGGTGGCGTTTGCTTTAGTTTTGCTACCCCACCTCATTTTCTGACAGTCAGCGAGACTTGAGCACGGATGCAGGGGTGATGCGCATTGTGCTGAGAAATTGGTGGTAGGAGTTTACCCAGTCAATAGGTGTGCAGATTTGTGTATTGTTTGCAAGTGGGTGAGCAGATCAGTAAATGAGTGTGTGGAAGAAGAAAGAGGAGTTGTTTACGCACATGAGGTGAGAAGGTGAGCTCCAAATTTGCCCTACACTTAGTGAAACGTTTTCTGGCTAATTTTCACAAGTACGTAATCAGCAATGCATTTGCAGGTTCTTTTTTAATTTTCCATGTGAGGCTTCAACTTGTGCAGTAATGGTGTTTCGGGAGCAGTTATGTAGAGTTGTGAACGTCTTACTGGATCGTATGAACGTTGCATGCCTTTACCCCTTTGTGCGTTTTGGAGGTTTCGTTTCACGTTCGCGTGACATCAGTTTAGGTAGGTGGAAGGGTTTCAGCACGAATCGGCGTACCTTGGTGCAGGGAATGATGTGGAATGGGAGAGGAGAAGGGAAGCAGAAAAGGGTTGTACGCAACGATTTGCGGTTGTCTGGCGGTGAGAGGCACAGCAGTCAACTCGCCTAGCGTTCAATGTGATTGCCAGTGGGGTGTTTGCGTTGTAGGTTGGTTGTGATGAGCGTATTAGGATGTGCGCCTTGCTGGATTGGAGGCGATTAAAGCGTCTGACTTGGAAGCTGTTGCTCCATACTGCTTCCCTGACACGGGTGGTTTATTTGTAATGCACGCACGCAATGAGGGTGGGTGGATTGGTGTCCCAGTCGGTGTGAGTGTGTGCAATACCTGCTCACAGTCCGTGTGGATTGGTGTTTGCGAATAAGTGGATTACTAGTTGCAGGCGAGCAAGAGGTAGTGGAGTCCGCTTACAATGGAAGGTACTTAGGTGGAAAAGCGATCCACTTCCACGTGACCGATGAGGAGGGCATTGTTGCAACAATGCAGTCGCGCTGAGGTGAACGTCTTCAACTCAGTGTCAGTAGTGCTAAATAACGTCAGGGGGTGGGGGTCCTAAGTATCATGCATTTTGCGTGGCACAGGTTGTGCCTTCTCGTGCACTCTTGTGGTAGTTTCGTGGCTTCATCTGGCATGCCGTTTTCAACACCCATTCCCGTAGACCGACTAATGAACAAGTGGATTATCGGACTTGACATGCAAAGTTTAGGTGAGTTGGTCCCATTGGGGACGGTGAAGTGTGCTGTGAGAAATATTTGTGTAAGGAGCAGGGAAATGTATGAGTGTAGCGTAAAGTGGAGGGCGACTATAAGACGTTGGGGCTGTGAGGATGTGTTGAGTGGCGTGAAGCAGTGGTTAGAAGTAATACCACTGGAAGAGCACAACCGAGAGGGCAGTTGTAATATGCGGGCGTTTTCTGTGTTGGATTTGTACGAGCAGAGGTACGGCTGGTCGAACACACTAATATTGTTCGCGGGGATGCTGTTGAACTGCATGGTGCTGACGGCGCTGTACAGACCACTCACTCCGGCTCTCCTGTTGACGCCGATGAAGGCGTCGGAGGCGGAGGGTATCAAATCGTTGCTGCAGCTGGCTGCGAGCGAGAATGCGGCAGTGGTATCGGCAGGGGCCATGGCAGGTGGCGATAAGACGAGTCTTGACGGTGCCACACCGCCCATCGTCTCGCAGCGAGATCTGCGCGACCAGCCAGTGCTGGAGGAGGACGAGGAAGAGGAAGAGGAGGCACAGGGGAAGGTGGCCTTGCAGAAGTCGAAGAGTGATCAGTCACAGCCCAACGTGGCCGAGGTCGTAAAGGACAAAACGCCACAGTCGTAAGTGTCGACACAAGGTCGTGCGCCCGTGCAACCTACTATGGTGTCGGTGTGATTGGATATGCAATTCTTTGTTTCAGGCAACTGGAGGCAATATCGGAGGGCCCAGAGGGAGAAATGGGTGCGTTGCCTTTCTTGCCTACACATTTTGTATTTGCAGGTCTTGTAAAGTACTCTGGACACGTAGAGCAGCATTGCGGCTGTGTTAACCCCCCATACCCGCGTAGGTTACGGTGATATGGCGGTTAGTGTGAGACAATTCGGTCCATTGCCAGTGGGATCCGAGCTCTAATGCTAAGGGTTAACAAACTGGAGTTTGGCACTTTGTAGTGGGATGCATTTTGGATGCAGCAAATGGGGTCCTTAATCGCTGCTATGCCTACAGTAGGGCAATCAGCGATGAACGTTGGACATTCGAAATTGTAAATGTGATTGTCACGGTCGGCGGGTTTTACCTCCTGCTACTTTTATTTGGCAGGTTGGTGCATGCGTTGTTTGGCAGAGACTCTGGTGAAATGTCATTTTGAGTTGTAACAAGTCTTGACTGTTAATGCAGATTGAGGGAAAGGCAAGTAAATCCCGAATTCGCTTTCGGAGATGTTGCAATGTAGGAATGCTGCGATGCTGTTGGCAGATGTTTCGAAGAAGTGATCTGTGTGTCGAAGATGGTTGGGAGGTGAAGGGTGGTTTAGTGTGTCCTTTGCATTAACACTGCTATACCGTGAGCTGGGTCGTTCATTTGTGACCCGTGTAGTGGAGGACAGGAACAGGAATCGGTAGGAGACTGGCCTAGACCACCTCTAGAATGTGTGTTTGAAAGTAAGGCGGCAAGAGTAAAGAGGTAGTATGCCTTTTGACAGCAAATGCAACGAGTGGAGCATGGGTGAAGACAATGGATTTTGAGGGTGAAGTAATGGGTAAATTCTGGTTCAAGCAGCAGTCCATGAGGAATCTGTGGAGAAGAGCATAAAGTTCGCATCCATAGATCCTTTGAGACATTGTAGTAATAGAGTTGTTTGGTTGATGTGGCCCAAGAAACGGAAGGGAAGGAGAAGGGAGACATGAGGATGGAGGGCGAGGTGAAGCCGCGGCATCACCGACATCACAGACGACAGAAGCATCGCAAGACTCTGCGCCAACAGCTGCAACAACAGTACGCGCAGTGGGTGCAGGGCATTCGTCGTCTGCGGGACTCCCGAGGCAGAAGCGATGAGAAAAAGGAGGTGGCGGGGTCTGACGCTAACGCCGGCGCTGACTTGGATGGGACGGGAGGCGAGGGCGCTGCATCGAGTCAAAGCTCGTGTGTTTCAACTTGTGGCTCGTCGTGCGAGGAGGATGCCTCTCACTGGGACTCCGCCTCCACCTCTGACGTCGATGACACCGCCGCCAAGACCATGAGTGGTGATGACGAGGTAGCTGGCTGCCATGATTACAGCACTTTGCCACCTTCAACATCGTCTTGTTTTGGTGCATTCGCATGACTGTTGTCGGGGAATGCAACTATTGTGAATTGTGTGATTGTTTGATTTGTGCGTTCAGATGTATCCACTGAAAAAGAGGCTGTGCAAGCAGACCATTTGCGGTAGCCGCAGGATGCCAGCCTCTCAGGGGGAGGAGAGTGGTGTTTCGCAACGGGAGGCGTCTACCGTGGAGTGGGTAGTCTCTGCACCCAGTCTCAATCGACTTGGCAGATGTGAGTTACTCGAATTTTCGTTCATGTAGCTGAAGAGAGAAGGTGGAAGGCGGAAGGTGCTGTCAACGTGTTAGTGGCTATGTGTGCGCAGATTCTACCAGCGAGAGGGGCTGGTCAAGGCGGTGGGAAAAAGAGCAGCAGCAGCAGCAGAGACAGAGGCAGAGGCGAAGTGTGCGGCATCAGAATGAACCGTCGGAGCGTCGACCGAGCAGAATGTGCACACGACCGATCCCACGACAGTCAGTGGTGCAGCTAGCGAACGCTTCGGTGTCGCGGCGTCGATCGGAGTCGGTGTCGATGGGCGCGCTGACGCGCAGTTACCTGAGCAGCCTCGGTTCCGCGATGTTTGCCTCGACCACAGGAGGATTTGGCAGTGCAGGCGGTGGTGCAGGAAGTAGGGGTGGTGCTGCTGAGGAGCTGGCGGACACGGCACCCGTAATCGTAGAATTGCCGCATGAGAGCATCTGCGTGGAGGATTACGCACGTCCGCTGTACAGGAAGGACATCTTCTTCCCGTACGTTTTTTCGTCTCTCTAGTGACATGTGCGAGTCTGATGTGGAACGAATGAGTGTCGCCACACCAGAGTGTTGTTGAAGCGGAATGATCGGGGGTGCGCTGACTCATGCAGTGTGATGCTGCTTGTGTTGTTAGAGGGAGCGTGAAACGACAGATCGAGTCGTCGGCGGCGTCGATAGCCGCGGCAGTGACGAGCATGATGGAGACATCGGGAGACCAGATCGGGTGTAGCCAGGCGTCGATGGAGATGGCGGACGGGGTGCGTCGACGAAAGGTAACCGTGGGCACTTCGCAGTTTGGCAGCGGCATACTCTTCGGTGACAATGTGCCACTGCCACCCATTAACGAGGCGTCGGTGCCGGTGGAGGGCGCACCGTTGGACGCCAACTGGACAGGCTCCTGTCTGATGTCATTAACGCGGATTCCCCTGCCCGATGTCTTTGAGGTGGAGAAGGAGAGCGTGGGTGTGGGCGGTGGAGTAGTGGCGGAGGATGAGACGCGAGTGTGGGACCGACTGAAGTCAGAGACGGGACTGAATTTGGCGGATGCACCAGCGGACGGTATCTACCGGGTGCCACGGTCGCACTCGATGTGCGGCTGGTGGCTGTGCTGGGAGACACGGCGGAAGCAGAGCTCGGAGCTGGCGACAGAGGAGGGAGAGGAGATGGAGCGCTTCAAGCGTGCTCTGGTGGAGGATGGTGGTAGCAGCGCCCAGCCCACGAGATTTCCGCAACGCGCGCGTCTCGTGTTGGTGAGGAGGTGTGTGTTCTTGCCGAAGTCCATGTGCGACGTGTTGGTGACGATGATGAATCTATCGCTGTTGAAGACGAAGAGCTTTTTGATATTCTGCCTCGCCAGTCTGATCGCCGTGATGGGTGAGTGCGGTGGTGGAGGTGGAGATTGTGATGGTGGCGTTGACAATTCAGTCTCGCCTTCCTGTCGTGGGGTGATTGTAGCATTTTGATGCATGGTTCACCTTCCCTTTCCTTCCCTACTCCCACCGCCTCCCTCTTTCCCTCCCTTCCTCCTCTAGGCATCTACGTTCCTCTCTTCTTCGTGTGCGATCTGGCGGATTCCTTCGGCATTCCAAAGAGTCAGTCGGCCTATTTGCTGACCGTCTACGGTAAGTTGATGTGTCGAATGTGTGAATCTAGATTACACGTTTCCTCTTCCATCGGCTTGATAAATGAGTCCAACAGTCGTGCAATTTAGTTTGGAATATTTTTTTTTTGCATGAAAGAATGAACAGTAACTGTGTTGTTTGCAGGTTTGAGGTTACAATTGACAGGTGCTGTTTTTTCAACTGACTGCATGTCAGAGATATCTGGGTTGTCACCTCGAGACCTGAAATGGACTCATGCGTGGAGAGTGGCAGTAGCGCGTTTTACATGTTGCTGTTGAAGCGTAGAAAATTGAGTGCCTGTGTGTGTGTGTATGTGTGTGTGTGTGTGTGTGTGTGTGTGTGTGTGTGTGTGTGTGTGTGTGTGTGTGTGTGTGTGTGTGTGTGTAGG